TTCTCGACGAGGTGGTGTACCGAAAACGCGTCAAACACGAAGCTTCTAGAGGGCCGTAACACGGGGTGTAACATCGAGGGGAGGCAAATGAAAACGTCTACGTTATCCACGAGTGACATGATCAAACAGGAGGTGAGACGAAGCAGATCGTGTGGCCGGTTTTTCGTGTTCCCCGCGAGAATACAGGGTCTACCATTTATCTCGCAACCCATGCGCGCGCAAATTGATGAAAATGGCAACAGCGTTAAAATTCGAGAGATGTAAAAACCGTACAGTTAAGTTGGTAATAAATTGAACTGTGGTCCGAGATTCGATTCAGGATAAAAGTACATCGGGTTTCATCGATCTTGTCGCGGCGTGTGGCTCTAACACATATTCACGACGGCAGTCAATTGGCTGCAATCCCTCCTTCGCGTGCCCCTCGCCAATCGGCTCTCCGGCGTGAATATGTGTTAGTTTCACACGCCGCGACAAGTTCGATGAAACTCGGTGTAATCGTATCCCGAATCAATTACCAACTTAACTGTACGGATTTTTACATCTCTAGAATTCTTGCGCTGTTGCCATTTTCATCAATTTGCGCGCGCATGGGTTGCGAGATAAATGGTAGACCCTGTACTGTTCACCGGTATTCCTTTTTTTATCCCGCCGGCCCTCTGTGACGGAAGAAGGATTCTATCTTTTTCTCTTCAGTTTTTCCTTGTTCAGCTTTATGACTACTCTTGTGATACAACGCATTTTCGCAATGGATAGTTAATTAAAAAAATACCATGACGTGTCTGTCGTTCATAATCTCAAGCACACTCGAACGCTGGATGATAACACCTGACGTATGCACGCGATTATCGGCCGATAAGTAGCGTGTTAATATCATCGCTAAATACTCGCCGAATTTCATGGAATCTGACTGAACAGGCAACCACTGTCACCGAAAAGTCGGGCCGAACAGTGTATCTGTAATGTGACAATTCCACGGGTTTTGCTATTGATTGTGATGCTCGTGGAAGGATAGAAAAAAGGAAAAGTAGCACAGCCGACCCGCTAGTGTCAACGTGCATTGGTCAGGATCGATAAATACGCGATTCTCGATGCAAGTGTACCGTGATAACCTATTAAATATTTTACGGCTGAATAGCGAGGCTCCGTTGTTAGAATTACCTGAATAACTCTCTCGTGGAATGCGTTCGATAACCGATCGAATTTCTTTCGATAAAATCACGATATCTCGAATCGCGAGCAACTCGGTTAAGAAATCGACCAACTTCGCGTGATCGATAGGACCGTGGCTCCGTTTCGTAGCGACAAATTGAAACCATGCGAATACGTTAAACAACGCGAACGCTGACGCGAAGCGAACTTATGCTCGTGCAACGTGTTGCATCGATGCACGTGCAACGGTTACGATTTTTCTCCATTACCGATCGATGATTTCGCGGGGTAAATTAGACGGGGTTAATCGAGCCATGTTAGCTCGTGCTCGAATGAGGTCGTCGAGCTTTGGAGAAATGTTTTCACCGTGTCCTTGACACCTTGACTATGCGACGTGTAACACGCGTCTATAAATATGCTTCAGGAACGTAGTCGATTCGCGACGTGAGATGAAACACGGATCCGGGAAAAGCGTCACGAGTTTCGTAAAAAATTTTAAATATCCACCTATACATTTCTTTGTTACGTCATGTTGGATCGTAAATCGTTCGGTAAAAATCGGTGCATCTCGGTATAAGAAGTTATGTATTCTCGTGACGAGAAGGAAGCGCCTTTCAATGTCTCGTTTGCATATGAAAGTATTGCATAAACGCAACGAACGAGTAAAAGATCGTTTCGAATCGTCTGGGTATTCCGCCACGTGCATTTTATACGAATTACTGTGCATTGGCCTTTGGACGTTCTTCCTGTAGCGTGCATGCGACGCGCTGTGTGCGTCGTACATTTAACTATACTATTCATTCATAAAACGGTCCTATTGGCTGGCTGGCGGGTGTGTCAGTGACGTCACAGCCAGATCAATGTCGTATTCCCAGAAAAGGTGGAGGGAAACTTCGTACGGAATTGGCGGGAATTTCGAACACTCTAAGCGGCGTTTTCCGCGGTTTCATATTCTTGGTTCGATGATCGATGACCTTGAAAGTTCGTTAGGGCAACTGACGCAATATTCGCGCAGTTCTACGTGTGATTACACATTAAATCATCGATGGTAGATCATTAATCGAGCATTTATTGTATACGCACACGAAATATAAATTTCAAATTTGATTACCTTTTTTGAAATACGATTATCATAAATGGTTATAGTATCTACTTTCAAATGCAAAATAGATCTAAAACGCAAGCGTTTCCGCGTTTTTGCTATTATCTCTCGCATGAAATATGATTGAGAAGTGTGTACATTGTTTTTGCTTAATCTGGAAAACAGTGCTCGTTTATGTAATTCAGAGCAAGTTTAATGACATGTGACATAAGAACGATCAAGGTCATGCAAGGTCGAGACCGGCAAAGGTAGCTCAAGGATTTGATAGCGTAACGCTGATATACAGCATATTTTGTCTCCTTTTCAACAAATTAAATTTGAAATCTAATTCGAGCTTCTTCTTTCAATATTTGAACGCGCACTGTTAGCGTTTGCACATTGTTTAAGAACTATTACATTATACTTGAACTTGATAGTCTCACTCGCACAATTATTAGTTTCCACGTTTTCGAATGAATATGTAACGAACGCGGGAACGCGCGTTCAATTTTAAATCGTTTTCAATAAAACATAAGGAAGTATTGTTTTAATCGAAACACTCGGGAAATCCCACCGACTCGATAATAATTTATAACAATGTAAATACTGAAATTATTGCGTTTCTATTTCTTATTCATCTATTTTTAAGATAAAATTCCGTAGTCTTTTGAGTTTCAAATTTTTTCTTTTAAACGCATCAGAAAAGTTTTAGGCCAAACGAAAACTATACATCTACTGAATGTTTCCCCAAAATTTCGAATGAATCCAGCCATTCATTCTCGAGTTATCGTGGTTACCAGTTTTAGAAATGTTGTTACGAAAAAAATGGGTTTAAAGTTTTATTACTTACAGTTAATTAGTACTATTTTGAAAAAGTAGAGCTTTAAGAAAATGCAACAAAAAGAAATTCGATTGTTTTGAACCGATACGCTAGGGAAACCCCTTGATTGTGAGGAAAACAGGGTTACATTAATCGAGATATTAAATAATGAACTACATGGAATGAAACAAAACAACTTAAATAATGACGCAAACCGTGCTGCAATTGAATATCGTTCGCGAGAGTGCGTATTATTATTGAATCCGAAGGTCGATCGATTTGAATCGAGTGAACACGCGGAAAAACGGCTGATTTCCATTCGAGTAGACTGTTTAGGTAGCGATTATCGATCGTGAACTCTATGCCAATGTATCATGACTCGTGACCCAAATCGTTCCTTCACTTTCCTACGATAATTGGACATGCTCTATGAAAATAAAAATTACTAATTGGATTTTCACCGATATCAACATGGTACTCGAAGTGAACAGTACTCATAATTTTCTCATTTTCGGGTTATCGATAAAATTAATTTTTCATTTAATCAAAAGAAACGGGACATTTTTCTGTCAACATGATCTAGATACCAAGTGTTTGACGAGACATTTATCGCGTTATGTCTCAATGGAACACCTTGATATCCCTCAGCATGAATCAGAAAGAATATTTCCTAGTTTCGTAACAACTTCCACAAAGTGTAAACTGACCGCCTTTTTACGCAGACCAGTGTCGCAGAAAAAGAACGAAAAATAGCCGTGATCGTTGTCACAGGTACGATGATAACGATCAAACGATCCAGCCGAAGTTCACTTGAAACGTTTATCTCGAACGTGACTTCCCGAAAACCGTGCTATCTGTTTGTAAACTCGGTGGAAAAGAATTCGAACGTTCAACCGTGAAATCGCAGAATCGAACTTTCTCTACTTTCGTTTCGAAGCTGTCGTCTCCTCGTGTCCGATCAGCGAGAATTAATAATAATCCGGCATTGGGAAATAACTTTCGTTTGCACAGCCGATCTTGCAACGAGAATTCCCGAGAAACGACGAAAACCAGAATCTTGCGGCGAACGGAAGTTGGGAAACTTGACGAACAATGAATGAAAATTAGAAAGAAAAAATACTTATCCAGGTGTTGCGATAGAATTCTCGATATATTTCTAAAATTTCATAAGATATTGCACAAGATCCTATAGGAGAAACTTTCAAAATTTCTAAATCTTTGAAATATAGATCTAAACTAAGGATTTAAGAAAATTCTGTATAAAATCTATGCATCGTTCTGTTACAACATATAATCGTCTGCTCTCTCTCGACTCTCTCGTGACACAAAACTGCATCTAGCTTACGGTACTTCCGGTCTGTGACACATACTTCTGACGCATGCACACGTACATGAAATCCTACGTGCATTCTTTCCGCTCAGTCAAACGCGAATTCGCTGCTATTACTACACATACAATACTGTTCTAGTTTTTCATCATTGATCAATATGATCAATAATTTCAATGAAAAATTAAATAACGTTCAATAAAATTCTATCACTTCTGTTGACACAGATAAAAAGGAATATAGCATATCTTAAAAATCTAAGAATAGAACTAATTCAACATTCAATAAAAAAATTCGCGTAGTTTCTTGAACAGAAAGAATGCATCAAGAGATCTGATATGCGGAGCAATTGAACGCCACAACAAGATAACAATTCCATCTGGACTGTCCCTAATGACGATTTATTCGAGACATTGTTTGCTAACCGTTTCGATTAAAACGGCCGAGTAAACGCATAAAACGATGCCCGTATTTCTCATTCGGATGCATATAGAGCAGAGTTATGCAACACATATGCAACTTGTGGGAATAGAGCATCGATATTGGAGAGGTGTTCAAGGGCAGCTCGTAACAATGCTACGGTAATAGCGGATCGATAACGAAATTTTCGTTTGCTTCTCAGATCAAAGATGTCTGCAAAGACTTCATCCTGTCCGACGAAACGCTTCGCATGGTCATGCAAAAGCTGAACGATGAGATGAACAAAGGTCTATCGAAGGCGACCCACGATCAGGCGGTTGTCAAATGTTTTCCTACATACGTGCAAGACCTCCCTAATGGCACAGGTAAGAGGAACACCTGCGCATTCCTCGTAACTCTACAGACACCTTCTTATTCCTCAGAGAAACTGAATTCTTATTGGAAATAGAATCAGAATGGAAAATGGAAAATTAATTCTTTAATTTTCAAGACTTTTAATTGATATCTTACAGGGTAGTAAATGGGTTCAGAATTTTATTTTTAGACAGTAATTGTCAAATGAGAAAAATTGTAATAAACTTCAATGATACTATTTTATATTGAACGCACGTGGCAAGATTGCAATAGATAATTACTTATCAGCCAGTTTCAAACATGCAATTCTGTTTAAATTCGAGATATCACGATGAAATACTAAGTATACTTTTTCTTGCATAACATTATATAACTAACTTAGCAGGTAATTACTTCCATGCTCTTCGAAACGATATTAGACGGAATGATTTATCGTTCACAGAAAAGGGCAACTTTCTTGCCTTGGATCTGGGCGGAACGAATTTCAGGGTGTTATTGATAGCCCTGGATGGTCAGAATTTCGATATGAAGAGTAAAATCTACGCGATACCGGAAAGTTTGATGCTGGGAACCGGTACACAGCTGTTCGATCACATAGCTCAGTGTTTAGCACTGTTCGTTAAGGATCTGAAGCTTCAGGACGAGGTTCTACCTCTTGGATTCACCTTCAGTTTTCCATTAAATCAACACGGATTAACGAAGGGTCACTTGGTCAGATGGACGAAGGGTTTCGATTGCAGCGGGGTGGTGGACCAGGATGTCGTTGCTCTTCTCGAGCAAGCGATAGAGAGAAGAAAAGTGAGTATTTAATTTTGTCACCAGTACTAAAATACCGTGAAATAGAGTAAATAGATATCAAGATCCAAATTTAAAAATAATTTGTCTTCTATTATGGAAAAGTAAATTCAGACTCGCGACTCATAGGATATGTTTCGAGATGAGTACAGATAAGTTCTAAATTCGTCACTGATATCATAACGAACGTGCTAATAAGTTACGAGTAAGAAGAGTTAAATACAACGACACAAATTACCGTTGCGTACTACGAGAACCTAGCCGCAATATGTCTAATTGTAAAATTGTCCGAGCTAACATTGTTTCTTTTTCCAGGACGTGAAAATCGACGTGTGCGCCATTCTCAACGACACGACGGGCACATTAATGTCGTGTGCCTGGAAAAACAGAAACTGCCGTGTAGGATTGATCGTTGGTACGTGTAGAATCATTCTAAGAAGAACGTAATATTCGTCATGGATTTCATTTTCACGGTCGTGACTGAAAAACGTTCGAGATAAGATTTATCGTGTTATTCCACGATTTTTCTGAATTTTATTGCTTTTTTCGGTCGACGGGATTAGCGTGAACAATGCTCCGTTATCGAAGCATTAAACGCGTAAATTACAAAATTCGTGGAAATTAAATTATCGCTACTTTTCTTCAGGTACGGGAACAAACGCCTGTTACGTGGAGAAGACGGAAAACGTGGAGTGTTTAGAACCAGGTAACTATTCACCGGACAAACCACACATGTTGATCAACATCGAATGGGGTGCTTTTGGAGAGGGTGGCGTTATCGATTTCATCCTCACGGAATTCGATCACGACATCGACGCGAACTCGATCAATCCTTCGAAACAATTGTTCGAGAAGATGATCTCGGGAATGTACATGGGGGAATTGACGAGGTTGGCCCTATACAAAATGGTCCAAGCTGGCCTCCTCTTTGGTGGAAAATGCCCGGCTGACCTCAAGAAACGTGGAAAATTCTTCACGAAATACGTCTCAGAAATTGAAAAGTAAGAGTTTCTAAATAACTTTGCGATCCATTTTGTCGTAGAATCGAAAATTAACGTTGGATCGTTCTTTTCAGCGATCCCAAAGGAAAATACACAAACTGCCGCGAAGTTCTAGCCGAGTTAGGGGCACGGAATGTGAGTGATCAGGATTGCGAGAACGTCAGGTACGTTTGCTCGGTTGTATCGAGGAGGGCTGCTCACCTGGCCAGCGCTGGAATCGCTACCTTGTTGAACAAAATGGGCGAGAACAACGTCACCGTCGGAATCGACGGTTCGGTCTACAGATTCCATCCACACTTTCACGATCTCATGACCGAGAAGATCAGCCAGTTACAGCATCACAAGGTGAGGAATCAGGATGAGATTGAAAAATTGCATATAGTTTTGATGAACTAGATATTTGATTGTCACAGCTGAAGATAGCTTCACCATTTAAACGAGGACTGTTTATCTGGAACAAGGTTGCACAATTTATGAGAACAAATATTCTATGAATGAGTCATGGATTTTTTTCCGGAAACATTCTAACACTTGTTTTCCTCCAATTTATTCTGCTCTTGTTCTCAAAGAGATTTCAGATTTGAAAGAAAAATTGTTTTTATGGGTGCATCGGTACATTTTCAATTGCAATTGCAATTTTTCTAAAGAGGAACTCACTCCTATTTATAAAACCATCCCCTCTATAACTTCAATAGCCAACGATTCAAAGAAATATTAGAAATATTTGTACATAATTTCACGAATGTTTGTTTAATTTCCAGTTCGATCTAATGCTGTCAGAAGATGGTAGCGGTCGTGGTGCGGCGCTGGTCGCCGCGGTGGCTGCTCAAAAACGGTGAAGGCAACGGCTGTGCCGCGTCTATTCGACTTAGCTTAAATTAAGTTATACGCAGTAAATGATATCAATTTGACACACCATTAACACAAAAACGTACACTAAAAGATGCATGAAAGTCACGCGTATGTGTCGCGGATGAAGTCGATGAAACGAGCTAGCGATTAAACGAAAATTTAAAAAAAAAGAGAGAGAGAGAATTGATAAAAAGAAGAAGCGAATGTAACTTTGTCTGCTAGAGTGAACAGGACAGTGTGCGTGTATGTATGCGAGGAGGCTTGCAAACGAGAGTATTGTACATAGAGTATAAAACGTAGCCTAAATACTGAATCGAAACGAGAAAAGAAAATATTTCAAACAGAGAAATTTTCTGTTTCACCGACCTGATCTTCGAAAAGACCCGCGAATAAATCAGATCAAAATGATTAGAAAAACTCTAGTTAAATTATTAGAAACATGTAGAAGCGGCTACGTGAATTGTTCGGCGGTACAGAGATCAATTTCATTATTTTTTCTTTTTTCTGTATTCCTTGCCAAAGAAGAAGAATATTTTTCTTTTTCATCGTTCAACCGCATCGGACAGCTCGCTGATCTTTCGAGAAGAAGAAAGGGTACGGACGGATTATTGTTTCACATAGAGAACGATTCATAAATTATTTCTATCATCGTTTTATCCTTTCGATAGTCATATTGTAACGATAGATGAGTATGCGGGAATGTGCGTGAGAGAGGCTGAGAAAGAGCGTAAATTAAATTGTTCAAAGGTAGAATGAGGGTGCAGATGTATCAACGAAAGGATGTTTTGCAACGAGGAGTTTATTAGACAGAATAGTAGCGTAATAAGGGATTAGATGGTTTGAAGTATTTTTAGATTTATAGGCCACGGTCGCGCTCGAAACGTTCGTGTTCTTTGGACGTACCTCTCGTTGCCACCACGATGACCTGGACTATTTTATGAGTCCGTCGATCGTTGTCTCAAAACAAAAAATGACAAAAAAAACCACATAGAATACGTGTGAGAGAGAGAGAGAGAAACGAGTGATCATTGTTAGAAGAATTCGTATCGTCATAATTGACAATGTTTCTCGTTCTCTTACGTGGAGGACCTGAGAATCGATCAGGATCGATGAAACCTTGTAAATTTTCAAGAACACTTAGAATTGTAATATCACTTTGGTACTTAAAGTGAGAGTGGAAAGTTCCTTGAAAATCTTGAGAATTTTGGGAAACCTGATAATCCAGTAGTTGTAATTCAAATTTGCAATGTAAATTTTTGTGTGATCACGTTATTGGACTATTCCAGGAATTCGGTGAGAATAAATATAGAGACTTTTCGAATAAAGAAAATGGAAAGGTAATGATCTAGGATGTATATTTATTTGATGACTTTCAAGACCTTCAAACATTTTCAATATTTTTACTTTGGAAAGGTGCCCAAAGAAAATCGAAACAATTACTATTATTAATTTTTCCGCTACGAAAGGTTTTCCAAATTTTCTAAAATTTCCAATTCGAAGCACGACAATCCGATCGCTACCTCGCTGTCGATCATCAAGGCGTATCGATAGAAATCAATCGGTTTTTCCTGCTGGACTCGTTCTTCGAAACGGGAGACGCGTGCTTCGAATTCGTAGTCGCATTCGAAGATTGCGAAACGCGAGATCGTCACCTGGAATCCTCGACGTAAGAGACACGTTCGCTACCGTATATACTTATTTCGGTCGTCGTAACGATAAGAGCACGCGCGACGCCAGTGATAAAAATCGAATACACGGTTACCACCTGCTCGTCGTTAAGGTGAACGAATATCTTTATCCTCGCGAATAGACGAGTTTTTTTGGTTCCTCAATCGTCTCCTGACTCCCTGTTCCTTCTTCGTCTCGTTCGCCATCATGCTGCGACGAATGTGGAGACTGAAGACGGTGAGTACCGAGTCTGGATCACGAATACGCTTGGCGTGGATCACGCGGATCCTAAGCGTGTCAGAGTTATAATAAAAATACTACTAGAACAGCGACGCGTTGACGCACGAGTTCCGTTGTTTGTATAGCGTCGCGACGTATTTTAATATATACATATTAAAAAAAAGAAGCATTAACGAAATAAAAAAAAATAGCGCGGGAGATTCTTAAAGCGCGAAGGTTCTTTTTTTAGACGAATTACCTTGTCCTAGGTTGTTTAAGAAGAAAATCAACGACTATCGGATGATTCCTCTGTCTAATTAAATATAGCTAATTGATAAAAGAGGCGAAACAACAGGAGGATCGACCATTTCGACGAAGCGTCGCGACTTTTTTTACACTCATCAACCGGTTAAATGTTCAGAGGAGTTGTGTACACGTTAAAGGTGCAAAATAAAAGTCGTCGTAAATCCTGTTTGATTACTTATTTTTGCACGACCTTTATGCGTAAACGATAATAGGTTTGGTTTCAGTAAAATGGAATTTCCTGTTTCACGTAATCAATAATGGTTCGAACAGTTTCGAAGTTTTGTTCGTCAGCTAATGTTTGCGATACCGATAAGGGGATCGTTTAAAAAGCGATATGTATAGGAAATTTAAAATTCCGACATAATTTGCACAATTTAAAACCCTGTTTAAATTTTGATTCTACCGATCGAATGATTGCATAAGCAATTATCTTGTTGTGATCAAATCGATCCAAAACACCTTAACAAAAATAATCTTGCAATCTTATCAATGGTCGTATCTACCGACCTCAGTCATTCCAAGCGAACATTTGGCAAATAAGAAGAATATGTCATATCTGATCGTACCTGGGTGAGCGCTAATCAGGAATAAACAATTCTTTTTTTTTTTTTTTTTTTTTTAATTTTTCTATTGGCAACTTCAGAAGTGCCGCCACACAATCACCACACTATAATCGCCATCTATCGTCGACTAGTAGGAAACAAAATACGTCAAAGCCGCAAAAGCTTGGCTGTCGCGGACAGTGAGCGATCGCAGGGTTGATAATCGCGTGCGAACGATGCGAAATTATGCAAAAGCAGAGAAGAACCGGGCGAGTTACGGCGGCGAGAGGTGTGCATAGCGAGAAATAATCGTAAACGGTATACCGGAAGGCGCAATAAAATGATTAGTGGCATTCAAATTGCCCTGAAGAATGCCATTGACGTGGTGAGTGTGTACGACAATCCTGATAAGGCTCGTCATTCCTCCCGTCCTCGCCTCTACTCTCACTTATTCAAATTTATTTTCAACCTTCGAAATGTTTTCTATTTCTACGCTCCTATCCATTTTTCTAATTTTTTTTTCTTATTTTCTTTCGACATGATAATCAACACGAGACTCGTTTTTAAGGCTGTGCTGATCGATCGTAGCGCTGCGCGTGTTGTATATATATTTCACTATATTTCTTTCACACCGTCACACGTGTCATTGTATTTATTTACATACGTTCTATCCGTCGACTGATACGTCATGCATTTTGGAATAAATTAATTATTCTTTTATTTCTCTCTGTATCGCGCCCACTCAGTATTCCAAAAATATAAATAATAAACGTAATCGAACGTTTGACCAATTAAGGGGAACACGTTCCTGTTCATTTCTATCGAATCGCGTATAGACGTCGTCAAATCATTCGAACATGTACGTCGTTATATTTAGCCGGTTATATAATTATTCAAACTAGCCTCGCACCTACGGACTCGTCGAACCACGATTCATTAACATGTGTACATTCAATAGCCTCCCGTGTTTTGCATCTTATTTGTTTTTCCTCAATAACGATCGGGCGGATGTAATACCATCTCTGACTAGAGTTACAATTGTCACCTCTAATGTCCTGACGATTCATTGTTTTTATCCAGATAGCACCGCCAGCCACGCCGCTGCAAGACTTTACCTACCACTGGAAGCAGCTGATGAACTTCTACGTGAACCATCTAACGAACTGCAAGGTCCCCATACAGTCCACCGGTATACCGCGTCACTTGGAAAGATTGTTGGAGATTCTATTAGAGGAAGAGAAGAATGAGAACGAGCCAGGATCCTGTTTGGAGTACCTGTTGCAGCACAAATTGCTGGACTTACTGGCCACTTTGGCCAGCGCTGAAACTCCTCCTGGAATGAGAACAGTCTGTCTGTCCTTTCTGAGAAAATTACTAGGGAGATCCAAGTATCCTCTGATACATCACACGTCCATCTACAGTCCAGTCCAACGGCTGATAGCCTTGTGCAATGGGAGTCCACCCTCGCCCATGGAGGCCGAGGAGATCCAGTTCCTCCTTACAATTTGCTTCCTGGTCTGCAAGTATCCCCACGTGACCAGTCTCATAAACGACGCCCCATCGGTCCCGAGGCAAAGCACGGCAGCGAATAAGAGCATGGAACGAATAGAAGTGGAGAAGGTCACATACGTGCCGGACAGAAAGAAGAACTTCAATCCGTTGTTCGAACCGCTGGATACTCAAGCGATCACCCTGATAAATCCTAATTTGTTCAGCTCGGAGCATGATAGGTGGCGGTCCCAAAAATCGTCCAGCAAATCCGATCCAGCCCGTGGGTCTTCTAGTCAATCGAATGGTTCGATATCTTCCAGAGGGACCGAGAACGCCTCGCAGTCTTCTAGTCCTGTGACTCCGAAGTTGATTAGCGATAGTAGTACCAACGTGTCGGAGCAAGTTCCTGATACCCAAGACGACGAGATCTCGCACAAGTGCGAGGACGTGGCTCTGATGAACGAAATAGACGCGCATCTGCAGAACCTTCAGGATCTACGGTTGGACGTTGAGTATAGCGGAGTTTACGAGGATGCTAGTTGCCCGGAGAACGATCAGAGTTCGCTTAGATCGAGGATGGCGCCAAAATCCAAATGCCTTCTACTAGATGCCTTGCTGAGTTACATAAACACAGCGGTAAGTACTGTTCACCGATGACAAGAGGCAAGAGGGTATACTACGCATACATCGACTGACCCCCTTGTTTTACACGAGCCTAATTAGTAGACGTGATTATTTCGACAAATCATACGTCACGACCGAAAGTATCGTGTGAGCTGAGGTTGAGTCCGCAATAGGGAGAATGTTTTATTTTCAGGACAATACCGTAAGGATAAGAGCGTGCGAGGGTATAATGGTTCTAGCATCCTTAGACGATCCACCCTTCGCTCAGATGATAGTCAACAGTGATCTAACGAGCCTGATATCAAATAGACTGGAGAATCTCTTCAACGCGATTCCAGCTCATGTTGATCCAACGGAGATCGACGGGGTGGATGTTACTTGGGGCCTGGATTCGCCAGTTTGGACGAAGGAGAAGAAATTCTCTGGATGTAGACAGGTGGCCGCGTTTTTCATGTGGTTCGACTACTGCAATCAGCTGATAAGGGAAGCGCATCCGGACGTGGCTGATGCGTTGGCGAAGAGTATCAGAGTGAATTTTTTGGAGAAGATTGTGACACCGGCCCTGGCCGATCATCACGTTGTTCTTATCACTGCGCTGATTACCAAATGTTTGAAGGAATTAACCTCGACCACGTTGTGTACAGGTACGAAGATTTTCATCGTCTAAACTTTAGACTCCGAAGACTTTCAGAACTTTAAATTCGTGATATGTTAATTCTGTACGACATTTTTTAGAGATGAGTTACTGGCTTGTGGGACAAGACAGAGGCCCCGAAATACCAAACGTATGGACGTCACCGGTTTTGCACAGGTTGATAGACAACTGTTTCACGGACAGCGACGATTTAACTTTGGAAACGTTGAAACTGTTTGAGGAAATGATAGAGAAACGAAACGAGCATATATTACACTGTCTGGTGTTGGTGTACTTATCGACGCGAGGCTATTACGATAACACAGCCGCGGATAGCGCGATTGCGTCTTGGAGCGACGAGGAAGACGAAAGAGAAAGAGAGAAAAAGGGTTCGCTGGATCTATCTTACGAGCAAAGTCACAGTCGAACCCTGGCACCCAGTAATATTCATAGAATTGTAAATTGGTGAGCATTTCACTTTAATTTCAGCTAACAGTCTAAAGGTGTCTCAAGTTTTTCTTGACAAATTGCGAAACGATCTGCTAGAAAATGACGAATTTTCCCTAACGTGACTGAGGAATTTGTTCAGACAAAATCAGAGTTTAGTCAACGTAAACCCGCTTATCTGCTAATTTGCATAGCGGATGTACGGTGACTGAATCTTTTTGTTTCGCCAACACGAACAGATATCATCATCGAGCTGCTCAACAAATTCTTTTTTGTTTTTTTTTTTTCCAATGCAACAAGGTGTTTCGCGCTGGCTCAATATCAAAACACCGTTTCAGCTTCCTGTCCCTGATTCCGCGATATCTACAAACGGACACGGACGTGAATAATTACGAACGATACATGGCCGACCTGGAGAGGCAATATTCTACGGTGTTGACCGACTGCTCGTTAATGGCCTGGCCGTTGGAAGCGGTGAGCGTCGACGATACGGCCAGTTCCGACTCTAGACCGGAAGCTGACCACTGTTCCGTACGGTTCTACGTGGGACCATTTATGACGATGCTGTTCGAGAAGGTTGCCAATATACCGAGACAAAAGTACGAGATCAATCTACAATTAACCGTGGTGATCTCGAGGCTGTCACTTCTGCCGCATCCGTACCTGCATGAATTCTTATTGAATCCTTTGCTACCGCTGGCACCGGGCACAAAAAACTTGTTCACCTGCTTGCAAAAAATCGTCAAGCAGCTGGTGAACGAGGTACCAAAGACGCCGGATCACAGACAGATGCTGAAGGAGACGCGAGAACGATTGCTCGAGGATTGTTCTCACGATGGGTACGTAAGAAATGAACTTGGCTCCTATCTTACCGATAGCTGATTTTCTGTTTATTATGTTTCAGAGAGAAGGAGAATATACTGTTCGAGAGCGTGATCGTGACGGAGGAGTTTTGCAAAGAATTAGCCGCGATAGCGTACGTCAAGTACCATCATTCTATGTGATAAACCGATATCAAAGAGAATAATGTAAATTCTAGGTGTAATTAGATGTAACATTACGGCCGAGTCTTTTACTTAAAAGTCGTTCTAGATACGCTTAAATAGAAAATTGGTTATTTTTCTTTTCCTTTGTGATGAATATTTGTAAGATACCTGAAACTATTGATAAGTAATAGCGAATATTATATACATATGTATATGTTAATGTTAATATTTGCAATCGACTTATTTGCACTATTCAATTTGTGACTCTAATAAAGAAAACATTGAAAGTAATTGTATTTTAATGATCAATCAGAAATTCTGTGAATTTCTTTCCTTATATTTCATTGTTTTGTAGTGTATTTATATTGTAATAGAATGTACTTTTGAATTCATTCATTTTGAGAATTGGAGCAAACAAAGTCAGCTGAGAGGCAATTCAAGGTGGTTCATGCTATAGCAACTTCTCACATATGGAGTTTCAAATGGAAAATACATCCATTTGTATACAAACTCTAATTGACAACATAACACTGTACCTATGTGGTAATACTAGTAAAAATGTTTCAGTCATAAAGGTAAATTGTGATAATTTAGCAACAAATGGTGAACTGTATTTTTTACCTAGCCTTAAAGTGTGGAAACACTTGCTGCAAGGAACAAATAAATGTGATGGAAAATGTACAACAATTTTGCAACATTTTCTACATATTCGGGGCTGTGAAATGAAGAACAGAACTGATGAAGATATTACAAAAGAGGTAAAATGGAGCAGAAAATACCAGCTTCAAGAATACTCACATAACCTAATTTTAAATGGAGTACATTATTTTCTACAGGTCCTACAGTCACTAGTATCATCTAGCTGCAATTGGTTAATAAAGATACAAAGGTACGTGTTGGAAAAAGAACGAATTTGTTTGTTTCTACATCGTACTCCACTCATAGCAAATTCAATAAAACTAGCTCTCACATCTCAGTGTAACTTTGGAAGGACTTTATCATTGAACAAAGTGTTTAGCTTTAAATCACATCAAGATGGTGAATCAGAAATCACAACAGCAAGATTAAATTTAATACAAAGTGTTACCGAAAAAATTGTAAGGCTACATGGAGGCAGAATATCAGATGAAGGATCAGATTACAGATTTATGTTCACCACTAAGTCACAAGGAAAGGTGGAAGAAAATTATGAAAAATGTGTATGTGGTGTTGTGAAAAATGCAGAAAAAAATTGTAAGGAAGTAATGTTAACCTGGGAGAAGTACATTAATAATAAAATTAAAGAACTGAGAATGCTCAATGAACACAAATATTTTGAAGATGAACATGATATAAAGACAGATGATTGCTTCATTGAAAATGTTGCAAAAGCAACAGCTACATTTGAATTACTCTCTGTAAAACCAAGTCGTTCTGTTTTTATTGGATCCAACTCTGTACCTAACAAAAGTACTACCAATACAAAAGGTTCTTCTCATTTACAATTTGATATAAATTCCAAAGAATTTCTAAAGGAACAATTTCTATTATTATCAGTTTTTAGGTGCAGCTTTTATATTATATAATACTGCTAGAATCTCAGCAATTATTAAGAAATACAATGACAAAAGATTGAAAGGAGAATATCCTAATTTACCACACGTTTATGATGTAGATTTCTCTTTACTAAATCAACAGGTATTTTATTTGAAAGCTATTTAAAATTAATCATCAGCTAACAAATCTGTATTTACAGGATGAATGGGAACTTGTATATAACTTCATTATTGGGCACCAAGAAGTGATCAAAGAATGCTTGAAATGTGAATCAGTATTTCAAACAAACCCCCAAGTAATATGCATATTTTTATCAAGACTATGCAAGAAATTTAGTATCTATTATCGTACAACTAAAATTTTAACTGTAAGTATAATCATGAATTTAACACAAAATTATTGTTGCTATGTAATTTGTAATTGATTGTGTGTATATTATTTTATTACAGGAAGGTTATGATCATTTGATTCCAACAATGATCGCAAGATTGTATATGTTGCATGCATTACAAATTATACTTCAAAATTCATTGGCATTACTTGATATAATGCCAGTACCTCGAATGTAATCAATCAATTTGCAATTTCTCAAATAAAAAAAATCATGTTTTCAAGAACTAAATAAAGTTAAAAAGAAATGAAATTCATAACAGCAAATGAAAAACTATTTTCTTATATCTTGTATCTCTTAATTTTCTACTTCAAGAGGTTATTTTTGTATAGATTTTGTATCATTTTAGACGATTTAACCCTACTTAATCGATATGAAGAATGCTTTGTTAAAAAAAGAATATAATTAGAAAATGTAATTATTTTCAATTATTTTTCAACGTTTAAATTAACAATTCAATATGATTTTTTGTGATTTGTGTAACATCATTTTGTACGTGCATCACTATTTGCACACACACGAAAAGTTTTTCAAATTAATATTTCACTTGCATATATAAAAACATTTTATATGATACGTGTGAATGTTTTTGAACATATCAAATGAAAATATGTAGCAACATAAAATACGATACAGATACTTACAAACTTCTCGATAACGGTCGTAACAAATGAAAATCGGCATACCTTAATACCAATACAAGAAAACGATAAAAATCATAAAAGTACACACATTTATAAATATGCTGCTACAATTTTTCAAATGTTATGTTCTTTTGTTGCAATTAAATAAAATTTAGAGAAGAAACAATAAATTTCATGCAACTTACTTTTTAGTCAGTTACGTCGCGTACAAGCACCTTCGAAGAAATCCATTTAACCTTTGGCGAAAATTGCAGAAATCTGCTAGATTTAACGTTCTTCGTTTTCTCCACACGTGTTTTATTTTCCACAAACCGAAAAGTTATTGTTTTTCGAATCTTAACTTGAACATGTCACATTCAAACGCCATTCTAAACACAGCGTGGACCACGACGTACTCGGAAGTACCGATTTGAAAAAGTAATGGTTGACAGCAACCGGATGTACAAAATGGCGCGGTCGTATAAACTTTCAAATGTATTTTTCTTAAAGTATCCGAAATCAGAAATTACTAATTGACATTTTCTCATTCGCATGCATAATTAAATATACATATCAACGTATAATCTATTTTTGTTAGAGATGGAATAAATATAGTGATAAAAAAGTATATAAACAAATATAAAATAATTAAAAAATCGATAACATCAGATCGCAAACGAAATCGGTAATAGCGTGTTTTAATACATTACTTCGGCATATGTAAATTCTTACCTTTAACACATTGTAGAAAGAAAAGGGGATATTTATTTCAGGCATATCGTGCTCGAAAAGTACACGCACGATAGCGTGCAAGGGAGCGAGGCGAGGAACACAGCCAGCTGTTTGTTTTGTTTTCGGGCATGAGATTCACGTGACACCGCCGGTGCTGGTGGCGGCTCGTACGGCAGCGCCGTGTTATCAACGCTGATTGGCCGAGGCAGTGCACTCGCGCACCGTTCGGCCAATCAGCGATCCCGTAAGAAACTACGTCTGGTGCTTCTACGGTGCAGAGACGTTTGACATCGATAAATGCGTGAGAGTGCTCGCGAAGTGCGGAGGTATCAGGCTGTCGCTCGTTCGTCGGCTTGTCGTAGTCGTCGTCGTCGTCGTCGTCGTCGGGGGCTCGTGGGCTCGTCGTCGTCGGTCAGTTCGAGCCTCCTTTTCTTTGTCCTGACTAGCCCCCCCACTCTCTGCTCCGCGAAAACCTGTGCAATAGTAGTGTTAGGCAGTGCCGATCCACAGTGACCGTCTTTCTTTACGTCGTCGCTCAGCTGCGCCTACTTTAGTGTGCGAGCGAACGTATCCGGCGTGCCAAATGTCACTAGGTGGACGATAGGGTCGAAATACACTCGATCCTCGACGTCGTACATACGCACGCGTTTACCAGTGCATGTATACAACGTAGAGGTATCAGATCCGCGTTCGAGTGTTGTCAGAAACGTACGTTAATGTATTTGTCAGATATACGCGGCACGAACCTCGTTATATTCTTAAGGCTGCTCCGCGTATTGCGTATCGCTACTCTCGCGTACTGTGCTCGTGCAACGTCTTATACAGTCCGACGTGTGTATGCACCACCGTGCTGCCGTTGTTACTCTCTCGTATGGGAACCACACTCGTTTCCAATCACATACCACGTATTACTCCGTGGCGTTATTAACCGTGTTCCTAGGCGTGTTTGTGCGGTGTAATGTGCATGTGTGCTAAAAGTCGCTTGCTCGCCACTCGTGAACGGAGAATCAAGGGAGCGCCTTTCTGTGTGTTCATCGTGAACGGGAAACCAGTACAAACATTACCATGATCGGACGCGTATGACGCGAGTTTCTAGAAGATTTTACCGTGTGTTTTGTGCGTGGCAACGTACGTTTTCTCTGACGAGGAAATTGCGGTTTTATTGGCACACACACAGAACCACCAACACGGTAGCATTACGCGTGTGTTCGTGTTCGTCTGCCATCGCGAACTGCATATTGCGTGAGTCTGATGGAAATCGTTGACCTCGCGAGAAGTTGACCGAGTTACGTGCGTGAATCACGAAAAAGGACGATTGCTTGCTACGCGTCGAACGTTCCTTTTTTCTCTACTCCGTTATTATACGTTCGGTTCCACGCGTAGTCGTTTCGTGTACTCTTCCCTATTCAAAGTCCAGTTCGAACGCAGAAAAACAATTCGTTTCGTGGTCGCGTCGTCTCGATAGCACGTCTAAACAGTCGAAATATCGTAAAATCTAGAGACATTCTCTTTGGAGTACACCCGTGTACACGGCTTCGCAAAGCTGTGTGCGTTCAAGGTCGCAGTAGAAAACAAGTAGCCGGCACGTAAAGTGGTCGCATGCACATGCACGCTGTATGGGTACTACCGTGTCCTGACCAAAAATAATAGAGTCGGTAGAGAGCGGGTACGGGTTTAGAGAACCGGCCGCTACCGATCGAGGTCAGGTTTTTTCGCGTCGGTTCGTTCGCCCGTTCCGAGTTGACGATAAATTACCAGCGACACGCGTAATCTCTCAACCCTTTCGATTCGCCTAGTGACTTTGCTATAGTCTGCCTCCTTCCAATTGTACCGTTTGCACACGCACGCTCTTCTCTTTCTCTCTCCATTATCACGAACACGGTCCGGGTTCGCTCGCACGCGACTCCGTGTATGGAAGTGTGGAGCAGCGGTGCGTCGCGTCGTATTCTCGCTTCGCAATACGCGTCTGTTGATATTTTTCTTTCACGTGGTTTGCTGTGATCCTAGTGAATGTTGTGAAACGAAGGTGAAGAAAGGAAGAACCGACGAAGTCAGGCGGAAAGAGAAGGGAGAAGTAACCTTACGAATCTAGTGAAACGTCGTTGAGTAAAAGGATAAGAGAAAAAAATATAAGTAGAGAGGGATAAACTGGCTTGTAAGCAGACCAGGCTAGCAGAAGTAACGAGTAAGAGACAGACGCGAACGAGATACTCCTAAATCGAAATTCTTTGCACGTGGAACAAACGACAGAGTGGAAACGGAACAGGAAGAAAGATCAAAATAAAAAAAATAAAAAAAAAACACACACACACATATATACACAATTCTTGATGCGTATCACGGTTGGAGAAGTCTGGCCATCGATTTGCCGTCCGCGAATCTAGTGCGCGTTTGAAATCGTGTTAGCCTCGTGTGTGTTACGTGCACATAAGCTAACGCAGCCAGCGAGGCGCGTGGACGGTCGAGAAAAGGAGGAAGAGGTGGCGGTGGAGGAGGAAGAGAAGAAGGAGTGGCGGTTGAACAGGCGGGTGGAGAGAAAAGTTCGAGAAGCGGCGGTAGCGCTAACCAACAACAACATCAACAACAACAACAACGTAACAGAGGGCCGCGTTGTACGGGGCTGTTGGTGGTGCGCGTTTCTGAACGTTTCTCTCGCGTTGTGTGTCGTTGTGAGTGGCGGGATTGCAGGGAAAGAGGTAGTGAACCGAAGCCGCCAGAATTACGCCAAACCGGGGAAATATGAGCATTGCTGCCCTAATACAGGCCGCCGAGTATATTGAACGAAGGGAAAGAGGTGAGTACTCGAAGCTATGCATTACGTATTTTTCATCTTCTTTCGAGTCGCTCTGAAGTTGTTCATCGCTCTGAAGTTCCGTCGTTGCTCGTGAGTGTACATACGCCATGTCATTGGCACATGGCAACGAACGCGCGTGTGCTGTAGTTGGATCTCGGAACGCGAACGTTGTTATTACGCCTTCCATCGCTTCGTTACTTCGTTTAAATAATACTTTATAGAGAACCGACATTGTTAACAGATATTTCAGGTAAAAATCTTGTATTACGTTGTAGTTTTGATTCGGAGCAGGTTAGCTTTTAGATGGCGGACCATGGAGAGAGTCCCATTTGTATTACACATTATTTTCATTTTCTAAATTTTACACGGTTAAAAATTGTGTAATACATTCAATTTTAGGTTAATATCCTTGTTTGGGTCATGATTCAGGGGTTAATAATTTGGGTAATAAAAATATGTTTTTTTTCGCGGCGTATATATGTGCGAGTCGAGTGTCGTTGTGACGCGTAGGTTGCATCCGTTGCTGCGTGTGCGTCAGAGAAGCGGTAACGATGATCTCATTTTATCACTCCACTTTATAATGTTGCTACGTCGTAGCCGTACTGAATTCGCGTGTTATCTTTTTTCCACGTAACGTCTCGTTGCATTTCGGTCTCGATTTCTACGAGTTTCTGGCGTTCGATCACCATTTTGTAACCCCGCGACGCGGTTACCCCCACCACGGCTCCCGCCACTGACGCGGCGCGCTTCCTAGAAGGATTCGAATGTTAATGGCGTTTTAATTGGGAGCTCGTTATCGACACGGTATATTATTAGCCACGTTTGCATAAATATCTCATCAACCGTTCTGTTCGCGATGATTCATCGGCACGTGGTATTTTTGGTAAACAACCATTCGTATATTCCACGATTTTCAATCGGATTTCAATATTTTTTCTTTTATCGCGTTTTTCTTGCCCGTTACATCACGTGACTTTCTAGTCATAACCAATACTACCAACCTTACGGATCTGTTTTTCACCGGTGCGTGACGTAAATAACGAAAATACACACAGATCACAATAAACGTTTGTCGCCTTGCATTTTTCCACGTTTCGCTTTTGAATAGTTGCTCGAGATTTACGCTGTCGTAATTCTTTTCTGTTTCTCTTAAGATCCCCGTGGTACCGGCCTCGTGTCACGTACATAAAGCGCGCGCGCACACGTGCGTCCATGTTCAAACGAACACCTCGAAAGAATGGTTTCTTTGTTTTCTCCTTTCCCTCTGTGCTGGTGCATCGATCTTTCCTTCTACAGCAACTGCCGAGCTTCATTCAAACGATAGCTCTTATATTTCTTTTTTTTTTTTTTTTTTAAATTAACGTCATGTAAATTAAAATCTTCAAATATTAGTAACCTCTTGTTAGACATAAAAAGGGAATTAAAAATTTCACTCCAATTAAGTCCGGATCAGAGAAAGAATAGAAGTCTGTTCACAAAAGGGGTGGAAATTAACTCGTAAAAGGTCAGAAAGAGGTCCCGGTTTATTGGCCATTCTTCTCGTCGACAAGAACACGAGGGAATCACGTTGATCGAGCATTAACTATTATTGCTCGAGGATGCGCGAGATAAGGCTGTTACGTTATTTTAATCGGTCTATTTGGCACGGTTTCCCTGAAAAACGTTCCCGAACGACTCGACTCGGACTCGACTCGACTCGACTCGACTCGCCCAGAGGAACGATTATTATCTTTTTAGAGTTCGTTATGAAACACGCCACGAGAAGGTTTTGAATGTTTGCAGAGGTCGTCCCGAATCGGTCGTTAATCGGCATCTAGACTCCTCGTGTTAATCCTTCTGTTAATAATCCGAAATAATCAACCGAAACCTTCGTGTTCCATTCGAGGATTTAAGTACCTGGCGAAACAACAAAGCTGGTGATTTATAATTTTAAATCGGTAGAAGTGGCTCGCAAAAAATCATCGACAATTTGCACCGTTTCGTAAGGCTGAGTCACGATTGACCCAGCCGGCAATTCCTTATTAGGTATAAAATATCGTCGAATCGTTTAAAGTACGGATACAGGTTGAATCTGCAAATTAAATTCCCCTCGAGTCGAAGCACCGTTTCCTTCGTTTCGCGATGAATTGCTCCGTTGACGATCTCGTCGTCGACGCGTTTCCAATTCCTCCTTCGTCTCTGTAAAAAGACGACACGGATAGAGGAAAGGAAAGACAGTGTTCGAGAAGCTGTAGTACGGTGGGAAAGAGGAATAGAGGGATAAGGGTGAAGGAGGTGGTATAATAGAGAAAAGGGAGTACAGAAGGGAAGAGTGGAAATTTTTATTCGAATCGCACACCTACGATGGGTACGTAGCTTTGGTAGGAAGGGTTCTTGGTCGATTCAAGCCCGCAGAAAAAGCTTACACGTGTTCCTGCTGCTTAATGAAAGGATAGTCGTTCGTGTGAAATACACGTGACCGCTAACGAGCGCAGTGCACACAACGACATAGCAGATATTCGGGAATGTAACTCGTTCACACCGTTTTACTCGTTCCTTCTCTTTACTTTCCAAAGGGACAGAGGAACGTTTTGTTAATTCACGGTTGACTCTTGTCTCATTTTGTTGCCAGTCGAGATGCTTTGCGATCGTTGAATCTCTCCTCTCAGTTAAGTGCCCTTTGGACTCATTTCGAGTGCCACTAACGCACGCGAGAAAATGAGTAATTTTCAAATTAAAATTAGTATATTGTACAAACGAAGTGAAGTAACTTACCTTTGCCATCGTTCTCGAAATTAGCCACAGGGCTGGCGAACGTTTATTAATTACCAGTGTTGCCCGCTACTTCATCGAGAACTCTTCAAACTATTTATTTATAGCCGCACAGACTCTCGTTCAAGTCGATCATTAAACTCCGCTAATGAGGAAAACGAAACACTCGGGAGAGCCTCTTCGTCGACGTGGTAGCAGCTTCGTAAAATAAAATAGAAAAAAATAGTCTTCCACGAAGAAGAATAAAATCAGGAGTATTCTTCTTCGGGAACCTTTGTTCCACGATTCCCATGTAAAACGCAACTGCTCTTCCAGTTTTGCTCGAATTTTGGAAACAATCGTTTGCCGCTGGTAACCCTTTAGCTGGACGTGAAAACGAGTTTCATAAGGTCCTTTCTCTTTCCGTATATGCAACTTTGCTACAGGTTCAACTGGCTTTATATGGTCGTACAATTTGCATAAACTAGCGTTATTGAATTTCTGCAGGTTTCTTGTAATTGAAACTAGTAATTGCCTCGTTTAGCAATTTCTTTAACTCGTCGACTACCACGCCTCTAATTTTAATCCTCGAAATGGAGGCTTAAATTTGGAAACGAATTGTTCTTTTAATGATTGAAGCTTCGAGGTGTCCGACTAAACGCGTCCACTTTCACTGCGCCGCGAAAAGGCGGCTTTATTCAGTAGACGAAATTTCTCTTTTGCATGACGCGAACTATGCTTTATGGTCATGGTATGCGAACGAGACCAGACGAGACCAGACGAGACGTTTTTCTTCTTTTACGAGGACAGATGGTCGATGTCGCGGGTGCGCCCGTTCTTTTTCACCGGTTGCCATTAAGTCCGTTGTACGATGACGAGGATCGGACGAAAGACGAGGCCAAAGGAGGCATTTATAATTTACACCACTCGTTATGGCTGGTACTAGTCTCTCTCTCGTTTCACCTCGTCCACTTCTTTACCCGTGTTCGTGTTCTTCACTTTGTGACTTCTATCTACCTTCTTCGTTCACCTTACATAATATCAATTTCTCGACGTGACGTCGGACAGCAGGACGAGTTGTTTGTAACGCTCGTCGGTTGCCATTTCGAGCGCAATTTTCGTGATAAATTACGGCCGGTGCTATTTTTGTAACGTTGTTTTGCCGGTCAACGTCTACCGGAACCGTGAGCCACGAGGAACGTTTGTCCTCGCACAGATTTCACCTTTTCTAAGCAAACAGCCTTTGGATTCCTACGTAATGCTAGTGGTGAGAGTTTTCATACGGCAAAATACTCCAAAAATGATAAATAATTAATTTTTTAAATTATCCGTTCAACCCTTTCACTGCTATGGACTCACATATGCGTTCATAATTTGCTTCTTGTGTATCTTAATCATAATCAAATAAAAGTTATCAATGTATATTACTAATTAATAACACACAATATGGTATCAGATTACAATGATAAAATAACGAAAAAATAAATTAAGAATTGAAATGAAATAAAAAATAAAAATGATAAATTCTAGTGTACTCAGCAGTCAAAGGGTTAAATAATCGGGTGATTTTTAAGTCCGATTGGAAGATCGTGAAAATTCGTGTAAATTCGTGAGGCGCGAATTACTTCGAAAAATTTGCCGAGGCGAAGATTTCGGGTCAACTCGTGTCCGTTCGCGACCGCCGATCCAGAATCGGAAGGTAAATATCGTACGGAAAGTTCATTCGATCGCGGACGTTCGGTGAGCGCGCTCGTAAACATTTAGTGTCGCAGTAAGTTACTCTCCGAGGGCAGAACGTGACTTTATTCCGTCGTGTACCAGCTTTAACGAGCTCCAGTCGTGTTTCCCGCGTGTTAGTCGCGAACGAGTGCCGGCCTTTTTATCCGTCGCACCCTTTTGGAATTCGCACGATGCCATCCGTCGACCCCGTCCACTGACCGTCGATTGGTTTGTCATTGCAGAAGCTGAACATGGCTACGCTTCAACGATGCCGATGCCCGATGACATGCGAACGGTCACAAAAAGGCCCAAGACGAAAAAATCCCAGGGCAGCAGGTTAGTACGCTCTTTTATTTATAATATACTTTGAATCGTGTACTTGTTTTACTTTAGGTATGTAGCATTGCAAAAATGGGTTCGTTAAAGTAAGTAAACGTTAACTCTTGGACGGCGGACCATGGAGAGAGCCCCTCTTAAAAATGATATACTTCATTTTGGATTGATACCTTCGTATACCTTCTGTAATTACGGGTCACTATTGACCCAGGCTCCGCTGTTCAAGGGTTAAAAAATGGAAAGATTTCTTTCGTTTTGTTTCTCGTATCATAAGAGAGTTCAACGATCCATCAGCAAGGTCGTTCGACGACTCAGAAACACCTACTAACAAGAACTTAAAAATACGTGTATCTTATCAGTCGTTCCAAAGACCAACACCTGGAACAGCTGTCTTAAAACAATAACAAACATCAAGGTGTGCTTTTAAGATCCTCTAATCGTGTATCTGTTACATACGATTCGCATAGATAGGTCATCGAACTCTTTCAAATAGAAATACCAAAGTCCTTTAAATGTGTACCTTTCGAATCATTGATCGTGTATTTCTTTCTCTCTCTAATTTCTAGCTAATTGCGATGACTAATACGAGACTAAAAACTGTCTCTATATTTTTAAATTATGCAGCGCGAGTAGTCATTAAAGCTAGACAAACGAGTAGCGTGTTTAATGTTCATGCAGTACATTCAGAAGCGAAAAATAATATCAAATATGCAAAAATATGCGAAACAGACATTTGAGTCACTAGTATATGTGCTTTCCTCTTTACCTAGAGGTAAAGAGGTTTCTTTTTATTTTCAAAAATCACAGGCGCTTCTGTTTAAAAATTGCAGGTGTTATGATCGGTTTAAAATGTTAAATATCCGGTTGAATCGAAAATTGACGATGGAGTATTGCCATTTATAAAACAACGTGTAAAAGTTTGATAACTTTCGGTGGAGTTTGATAAATTTTCATCCGTGTTTATTATACGTTATCCTTTGAAAGCGGATTTGTTAATTAAAATTTTCAATACGTGTTCAAATTTGAATGAAATCATCAATTTTTCAATGTAAAACGAATCTGCATAAAAGCAGTTGAAATTTTCAATCCACGTACAACTTCTCGGTAAAAGTTTTTCAATTTTCTTGTTTTTCCTTATTTGTTCTTCGTGCTTGGTTTAAAAGAAAGCTTTCACGTGTAATGGAACGCTTTATTTCCCTCCGACAGTTTTAATTTTCATTTGTGCTTCGAACCACGTTCTGTTTTCCTCTTCTTCTTCTTCTTTCCCTCGTCTCTTTTTCTTCAACGTCGCAAAGCAAACGATTTCACCGCTTTGAAGTCTAACAAGAACGTTCTTTTTCCATTGCAGGACGACTCATAACGAGCTGGAGAAAAATAGGTGAGTACTTCATTTATCTCATTATCTTAATCCTATTCAACGGCCTCTCGTTTTGTTTTTACTCGTACAATTAGAGAACGTGGCGTGCGTAGAACACGCTCAACGTAAACTCGTTCAACCTTATTTTACAGATTTTTATTTTATAATTTTCAGTAACAAAGTCTAAATTCATTTCATTACACGTGGCTACACGAGCAAACATAGTTTAACCCTTAGACGGCGCAATTTCAATTTAATTTTCACACCCCTTGTTCCCTTTTTATGGCGTTCGAAGTGTTAATTTTATTTCTCTACGAAAACAGGACGCGTGTAAAGTTTTTTTTAAACGTAACGTTTGTAACGCATACAATTTTCCTGATCTCGAGTCTGTTTGAACGTTGTTATTTGCAACAGAAGGTCGTTGAAGAGGCGAAGAGATGGAGAATGTGTTTCGCGATCTCGCCGGACAAACGATCGTCCATCGCGTGTTAAATTGAAAGCAATTCACGCTTATCTTCGCGTCGTTGCTCGCCACGTACAAAAGGGCTCGGTGTTGTTAATTAACATGCGTGATACGTGTGATTAGAGCCGCCGACCCTTTTGTACAACGGGGCGAGGAAAGTTCGAAACGGAGAGCTGTAGTACAATGGCCGAACGGAGATGGTCCGTTCTGCTTTCCACAGGTTTCCAAGGGTTGCCTGTACTAACCCCGATTGTCGACGTGATTTATAGAAGTCGCGAGCCATACCGTTCTTGCTCTTTTCCTGTTGTATATAAAGGAGAAACGGTTTACCAGATAGTCACCGCGAAAACGTGGAACTTTTGATTTGTTACTCGTTTAGGACCGTGGTCGAGACCTTCGCGAAGACTTCGAGCAGAGGAGAAAGGGTATGGTTTATGGCTGTTTACATCGAGGATTTTCGGGGTGCGGGGGTAATTGAGGGAAGGGTTTACAATTTGGGAAATAGGGAATTTTATTGGGATTGGAAATTTGAAATTTTATTGGGGTGCGGGATATGAGGTTTGGAAGAAAATCTCTCGGAGCTCAGATTTGAAAATTGAAAATTGAAAAATAAGGTAATTTTAATGGAAGTTCAAAATTGAAAAATAGATAATTTTAATGGAAGTTGAAATTTAGAAGAATTCTAGTTCGTGAGAAGTTAGAACATAAGAGTGCTATACCGGATGTTAATAATCTTCTTTTACAATTCTGAACAAACAACCTACTTACTAGGCTGAATCGATTAACTGCAAATGATCATTACTTATTCACAGATAAACTATGGAAAATATTGATTACATAGTGTGCGTTTACTACACTGATATGTACCAAATGAATCATAGTAAACACCTTTGACCTGTAGTAAATGGAACACACTCTGTATACTGAAACGCTTTTCTTGCACCAAGCAAACAGTAGTTACAATGTTTTTCTTTTAAATACCCAGTAGTCTACAAGAGAAGATGTAGATGGTAGTATGATGAAAAATTTGTTTGAAACTCGGTTCACCGAAACTGGTCAGGTACGAGGAAGATTCCCAAGCGCAGTCCACGTCTTCGTTCTCCTCGAATTAGAAACAGAAGCCACGGACGTGCTTAGCCGACTAACTCGGGGGCAAAGGGAAACAAACATTCGATAAACGGTGCGGTTACTCTGCAAAGAGCAGAAACAATTTCAACCGAAAGGATACCCATTAAACTCTGCTACCATTTCACCCTTCTCTCCTTTTCCAAGTATTTCATCTCATCTTTGATTCTCTCGATTGTATAAGCATCATCGATTTTTAATTTATTTCTTACAATTCAAGATAATAAATGTTCAAGAACGACCGCAGAGGATTAAACTTTACCATCCAACTGGAAAATTAGTCATTTTAAAATACTCTGAGTGAATGGTTAGAACAATTGATCTAAAGAGGGCAGATGTGGTCTTCCGAGAATGATGTGCTCAAATACTCGGGATTATTGGAATAGTTGAACTGTTGGAAGTTTTACAAGGGTGGGTCCGGTGTGTATAAACGTAAAAATAAAAAATAAAAAAATCGAGGCTTTGTCGTCGGCTTGTAGAGCTTTTTGTCAGAAACAACGAGAGAAGGAGAAGTTTGCATGGTAGAGAGCATACGGGGACAGAGAGACGGTTTGCAGCAGGGGTTACGGTGGAGAGACGAGGTGAAATAGAGAGAGGGTGAGAGTGAACCACCGTGGGGAGAGAGAGGGTCTATCGATTTTTTTTGTCCCCAAGCGACGAAACCATGGACGGGTGGGAGGGAGGGAAGGTGGTGCGTGGCACAGAAACGGCCAATGTAAAAGCCCACATCGCCGACCAAAGAGCCACGTTACACCACGTAGTTAGGTTACATAACGAAACGCAGGCCACGAGACGTTCATGGAATCCGTGGCACACGAAGTACCACGCTTCGTCGACCTCGCAACGTTTAACATCCGCACGATTTTGCTATTTTCGAACTGGTGCCTCGCGAAATTCGCTTTTCTACCAACCGGCCTGATCCGTCTTCTTTTCCAAGCGTTTTCGATCGATCCTGATGGGTATTCAACTGAAAATGTTACATTTCAAAATCCTTCGAGCGGAAATCTGACCACCGCCATATTCGAATCCTGAAACTTTGTTACATCTGATTATTATTTAGATGAACTACAGGTATGAGGTAGTTAGAACGGTACCACACGGCCTGGAATAGGATAACTTATCAGATAGGAATGAAGGAAACCGAATTTAATCCAGAACTAGTCCAGATCTATTAGCTCCAAGTGGTGATCTAGCTACTGCTCGCACGAATGTAGAAACTTTGTTACATTCGCCGATTCGTTTGCGAAAATACCAGTGTGCTGCTTCGAATAGTATCGTGTATAATATAGAAGGGGATAGGTTATCAAGTAGGGACGATGGAAACCGAATCTGACCTAGACCTAGTCTACATCCAGCTTAATAAGTAGATGCAGATATGTTTCATCCTTGAAGTCCATACATCAAACTCTGCTCAACGTATTCGAATCGCGAAACTTAGCAGTGCTTAGAAAGCAAATGTAACTCAGATTCACTTTCCTAATAAACGGATCGAAGTTCGTACCGATACAATTATCGATGAGATTTCTCAGTTGGGATTCGAGTCCCTCGCGTTTTCTCTGTGGAATTAGCAGGCGAAACAGGTCGGGTAATCATACTCTAGGAAACCGATCCGCATTCACTGCAGCTCTTGATTTACGTTTCTTTAAACCTCAAATAGAAGCGGTCTTTATACTCGATAGAATTACAAGCAAAATGGGTCGAATAATCACGCTCTCGAGGACTGATTCACGTTCACCGCAATGGACAACTGTTCGTCGAGCTACCAAGCGTTATTTAGACGACAGAGAATAGTTGAATTTCAAGTTAAATGAAAATTTCTTTTTCAACCCCTAAGCAAAATTAAAACCTCAGGAATTTAGTTTATTAAAAAGAAAAATTCTAATCGCTCAAATTTGTCCGTAGAGTGATAGGCGGGGAAATTTGTGTTCGAAGGGGTTAACAGGTTAAAACGGTATGTGTACGCGGTGTCTGTCGATTTAGCGGTGTAGGAGAGGGTGGACGTGTTCCGTTTGCGCACGTGGTTGTTTTAAAGCGTTCTAGCTGTCGGTGTGACATGCGTGGACGGTAATTTCCAATCGCAATAGTATGTCATCAGGAACACGACAGAAGGCCTTTGCGGAGGGTGCATGCAAAGTGACCGCGTCGCGGTTCACGCACGGTTTCAGGTCTGCGCCGGTACCGACGGATAATGACAGGAATTTTAATTAATTGCTATAATAACTGCGCGTCGTGTTCACCGTTGGGAGGGTGAATTTGCATTTGTTTTCACCGGTAACAACAACAGCAACAACGATAACGAACTGTTCGCGACGATTGTCTCCCTCGTGACGATTACCGGAAGCGTACGGAAGCCCGGCAACGAAATGGAAATTTTCATTTTCACCGATCCGTCGAACGATAAATTATGCTCTCACGGATATTTCCCTACAAAACGACCTCTTAACCGTCTAATAATCACTGTAATCTCGTTACTCCGATCAGGGAACGTTATTTATCGGCTGTCGCTGTCGTCAGGATTGTTAGAGACGAGCAATTCAGTTAAGTTTATGCGTTGTTGTATTTTAACGGACGATTTCGTGGATCCTGCGGAATCGTAAGTGGATGGGATGGTTGGTATAAAAGGACCCACCAATTTAACGCTTACATTTTATTTTTAATAAATTTAATTTATTATCTAGCTTATGGTTTCATAGTAAAAACTCGACTCGTCGAAAGAACGATAAACTATCGTTCGATACGTTCGAAATGACGAAGTTGAAATAACCGAGAACAAGCGAGTCTTCGTGCGGATATCTCGTTACGCCAACTTCCGTTGGGAAAGATTCGTGCTCCGTTGATACGAAATAACTACATGATGTCTGCTGCGTGTTAACGAAACGATACGAACGGAACTCTTTGTCATGGATCTTCATTTTCTCGTTTCCTGGCACGGTTCAAGTCCACTTCTATGCGTTTTGTCTGATCGAACCTGTAAAATTCTTCTCATTTTTATAATTCATTATATTAAGTTACAAAAATTATTTTTGGGGGCTTTTGACTTTTATATAGTTCAGGAATGATTAAAATTTTCCTTCTTTTCTTTGGAAAGAAAATTTTGAATAAAATTGACAAAACGATTCGTTTGCGAAATCACGAGTACGTCTAGGGACACTAGGCTTAATGTTTTCTTCTCGCGACCGATTGATTTCGCCCGTATGACGGGGACGTCGCGAAAGTGGGACGTCGCAGGTGCATATGTATGCAACTCGCGCGGCAAACGCGCAAACGACAGGGCCAATGACACGTTGTCCTAAATTTGGCGCGTTGCGCCGCGTCTAAAATAAATCCGCGGTCAAACTTTCCACGGGAACGCGGTGATTTGTTAATCGACGTTTCCCGTGCACCGTCACGCCACGTTCTTCATTGTTCTCGCTGGTAGGTCGATGTTTTCAAA